TATTGGAATGGTCACATTGTTTATAGATGATTTTTTCTCACTATGGCTACATATATCTCATTTATGAGAAATTTCAAACATTGGACATGTTTAAGGTACACGAGACTAAGGTTGAAAATCAACTCAGTAAAGGTATTAAACAAGCTAGTATCTATAGTGTCCATTGCTATGCGGGTTTGCATCAATTCGTATCAAAGCATAGACTCCAAAATCAAGGTTATATCTTTTTGTTTTTAGCATTTTTTTTGTTCTTCGTGTTTTTGTAATTTTTCAACTGTATTTGAGTTTTTGATTCATTTAAATCCCTTTAAATTTTTGAAAGTTATTTTTGGACTAATTAGTATCCCAAAAAACTTCTATTTGTTTTTTCGAGTTTGTAATCGAATCTCCTATCATGTGAGTTAAAAAAAGTTGAAAAAATGTCCAAAAAAAAAAGAACAAAAAAAAGAGAGTAAGAAAAAAAAAGTAAAAAAAAGTGTCAAAGTCAAGCAGGAACTAAAATCAAATCAAAATGTTGGGAGACATGATTCGATGCTTTGAGAGGTTGATCGGGAATATGAAAGATATGTTGGATTGGTTGGACTCAAAATTGGCTAAGTTTAATAGGGATCAACGTGTTGAAGTATAAAATGTGATGAGATGGGATAGATTGGAGCCTAGAATTGACATTTGTGATTTGTATGGGAATTGTAGTGACCCTGATGAGGATGAATTGTTTGGGACTGAAATATATAGAATGAAGGATAGGAGAGATAGGTTTGAAATGAGGGATAGAAATCTTTTTGGAGATGGCGTTGAAAGGAGTTTGGGAAATACAAAGATGACAATTCCATCTTTTAAGGGTAGGAATGATCCCGAGGCATACTTGGCATGGGAAGAAAATGTTGAATTGTTGTTTGAATGCCATGCTTATTACGAGGAGAGAAAATTGAAGTTAGTTGTGAGACAATTTGTAGATTATGCTTTGATTTGATGGGATGAGTTGAAGACATCTAGGTGGAGGAATGGTGAGAGGTGTATTGAAACTTGGGATGAGATGAAGGTTATAATGAGGAGACTATATGCACATAATTACTATTACAATGATGGGAGAGATTTGCGTGAAATGGAATTTAGAGAAAATCCTAGGAAATGTGTTGGAGTTGGATATCTAATGGGTAGTAAAATAACTTTTGTGAAGCATATGGGTAGTACATCAAGTGAGTTGGCGAGTCTGGATTTCAAATTAGAATTGTCAAAGATTTGTGAGTTGATGAATTCTCAAATTGATCACATGAAGAGGCAAGAAAGTATAACAGAAAATTGTGAGGTGGTTGATTATGAGAAAAAAGGTGTAGAGCCACGGGAAAGTGAAAAAGGAAGTATAGATTGAAAATAAGAGTAGAGAAGTGGCTAAGGGGGAAGTGAAGTTACACATGAAAAATGAAGAAGAGTCTACGGAGATAAAAGAAGTGTTGGAAGTGAGCTTAAATAAAAGGGATTGTGAAGTTGAAGGGATGTTGGTGATAACTAACAATTCCCTCCCTATTTTGGATATTTCTGTTTTGCAGGTTAACGAAGATTTGAT